TAATTAAGTAACATTAAAAAATGTTAACTCTCATTTTCTTCATAATTTAGGACTTGATCCAGTTCACTTCTGAACCCTTCATATATTAAAATAAATATAAAATAACTATTTACATATTATAACACGACAGCGATCTTTATTTCATAGCCATCGCTAACACCGTTTTTTTTTCGATCATATTGTACTTTGCTATGATATCTTCTTTTTGTGTGATTTTACAAGTGCCATATAGTAATTAAGAAGCAACAATACATAGGGTTCAGAAAAAAAAGGCTATTATGTATGTGCGTAGCCATGGTGAGATAGGTGGGTAACTGTGGTAAAGCTCATAGTAAAAAATAAAAAATTAATTTGTAATCAGAATAATTTTAAAAGTACAAATAAGTTTTCTAAAATATTTGTTGAATGGATAATATTTTTATCACATAGTTTGAAGGGAAAATAGCCACTATATGCTACCTACCCCTATCACCACCACTGTTTGCTATAGCTTATAAATTAGTATCGATTTAACAACCACAATTAAATTGATATAGTCCAATGTTCAACCATGTTAAATGGTACTTATTTAAGACAAATGTTTAATATTATATTGTCTTTTATATTCACTTAATCGATTAATTCTTATAATTTCCTTTTTCATATTTTTCGGTTACTTGCTAAGCCATAACTTATATCTAGAACCTAGAACTCTTACAATTTAATATACTTTATACCGGGTGAGTACAACAAGTAAGTCAGAGTTTTTTTAAAAGGTATCAATAATAGTTGTTTTTTATACAAGACGATAATGCAATTTTATCGTCGTGTATAAAACAATATTTTTTCCATAGCGAGTTACGTTTTAAAAAATATATATTTAAAAATATTATTATTTCAAGGAATTTATTACGAGTAGAAAAAATATTGTGCTGGGTTGGCGTTGGTTTCTATGTAATTTGACAAATAAATAAAGCTGTGTCTTTAGTTGTCAGTTTTAAGTCAATATTTTTTAATTCTCTTTCGTGTCGATTGCTGATTGAATTAGAGCCAAAAATGGCTCAAAACCAAACAAGTAAATTAACAACAGATAGTTCCATTTAAATCCCGAATAACTTATGAAAAGGAATACAAAAATTTTCAAAAATGAAAGCAATTAAAAAACGTGCGAGAAGAAATAAGTTTTTAACCTATCCTCGCTGTATCATTTAATCTACCTTTGTGGTTAAAGTACGATTTTATCTACTATTTTTGATAGATATAAGGCAATTTTAACAGTTGCTATGGAAAAAAAAATTTTTAATGTTTACTGGCTTTTAAAAATTAAATGTCACAGTATATCATACAGGGTGAGTCTTAAATAAGTGCAAATATTTTCAGGGCTGGTAGATCTCGACAAAAGAAACATATATCTTCTGTCTATAAGGCCAACTGGCAGTAAGCGCCATTAAAAAATAAAGAAGATTACGGGCTAAGAATTTGACGTTTAAGGGCTCGAACCATAGACTTAAAATAAAATATAGACTGAGCATCTCATTCATAAATAGCTGGAACATGCGGTCAGACACTGTCTTGTTATTGTTGTGTTATTGTTTTAGGTTATAACGAGTGCGACACAAGCGATAGATAGGTTGTCTCTGTCGTAACGGTCGTTCCCTGACGACTCTGCCGAGAAACACAACACTGTCTTTCGTTTCTCAAGTACACACCTGAACTCTCCGTATATCATAGCCGCTAAATATTTTTATTTTAATGAAGCTATAATTAAATTAAAAATATATCGTATACTTTTTTATATTTTATTAAGATTTAGGACAGGTTTTTTAAATAAAAGTTTAGAAAAACGTCTTAGAGTCTGAAAAAGGATAAAAATAATAAAATACACGTTATAGAAGAAATTTTATAATCGAAATTTTTATTTTTTTGAAATTAATAATAAATTGTCAAACATTTACAACCCTAATATTAATCAAAACAGGATCTATTCCACAGATATAATAGAATCGGCGACAGGGAGAGAAAAAAAAATATATGATTGTTGTAATTTTTTTTTCTGGTTAAGTGATGTCTTGTGTAAATTAGAGAAAACATAAATCTGTTCCATTAAAGCAAGGAAGGTGATAGGAAGTGGATAAAATGAAAACTACATTTATTTAACTCGGTACTGTCTTTATTATACCGGGTGCGTCCCAAAAGTGGCTCAGCCCCATAATTTTTTTATATTTTCAAATAAGAAAACAAGATTTAGTATGTTAGTACATGACAAATTAGGATTGATTGACGCATTCAATTGTTTTTGGTCACTTCCTGTTTCACCGGAAATGACTATAACTTTTAATTTTTAAACGGCACCCTTGGTATATTTCTACTTTATTCGATAGAAAATGACACTCTGAATAGAATGACACATCATATGTCAACTTTTTGACATCATATGGTTTAATTGTAATTGTTACACGCGGTTCATAACGACAATTTGACTCGAAATACCAAGTGTGTGGTATCAATATATTCATAAAAAATGCTTTTTCCAAATATGCTAATGAGTCACCCTTACAAATCTGTTATTTTTATCTGCAAAAAAATAAAAGTTATAGGGGTGAGCCACTTTTGAGACGACCCGGTATATTAAAAATATTGTTTCATAATGTAATATCATTTTAAAAATCTTGTATGTTATTTTTAGATTCTGAAGATAATTTTAGAATAAACCGGAATATAGTTTTTAATAAAAACATTATTAATTATCTGCCAGGGTTATAATTATGATTTTGTTACAATGTGGCATATGTAAAAAATGGATTATTTAAGTCAAATTTCTTGCAAATTTGGCACTGGCGAACCATATTTTATAGTTCTTGAACAGAAAAAGTCAATAAAATAAACACTTAAGCACTGCAAGCTAAGAAAATGCGTTAATACAGCCGGGGAGATAGCGGCAACAAAGTTTTTACCGCACACGTGCGACACGTACTACAAGGTAATAAATGAATGAATAGGCTCCCTCGCCTCTAATCGGTGTTGTCATATTGTAAAGAACTTATCCTTTTATAAACAGTATCCGACTTATAATTTAGTAGTATAAGGACTATTTAATACATCTCTGGAATATTAAAACCTACTTTATTAAACTGTGGTATTAATATCTCAATATATAATGTATAACAAGAAAAATATTGATAATATTAAAGACGTGACAACATAGGCTGGACGAGGAAGGCTCGGTCGACTGTACCCAGAAGTAAACATGTGTACAAAAAATATTGTCTGTCCGCGTTGAGATGTAAATAGTGTAGTCTATATTTTATTTTAAGTCTATGGCTCGAACACACTGACGACCAGGTCGCACCGGCCAGGCCGCAGCTACCTCTAAAACCATTAAATCAAATGATATAGCGCGCACTAACGTCCTGGCCGTCCGTTGGTCGTTGCGACCAGAAGACTGCACGGAAATATTATTATTTTCCGCCGCTTGTTGCCGGTTTTCTTCCAAATTAATAATATTTCAGATGAAATCCCTCAAATTCAAGGCACAATATCTTATTGTCTATAAGATATAGTGTTTTAGTGTAGATTTTGCACCCGTGCAGAAAATCCAAAGAAATAGTATACAGACTGGATCAAAGGTAAACTTAAATCTAATCCCTTTTTTTTTATCAAGGGTCGATTCTAGTAAAAACTCAAAACATTTTTATATGACATACCCACTCTATTTATGGTTAGTATGATACCTGTTATTATACCTTTGAGTTACGATGTTTAAAAAACTAAAAAAAATATATATTTAAAGTTTTTCTACAACCACTTGTTTTTTTTTATTAAATTAGTTTTTTTAGTTGTATTGTAGTCATATACAAGGAGGACAACTGTATTTTAAATATGATATTTAATTTAACGTTTTTCAAACAGGGTTCATTAGACTATATTTCTACTAGGTACATTATTTCGAAAAAAAAATTAAGAAAGTAACTTAAACATTCATAAAAATAGAAGTAATTACTGTTGTAGATTCTTCGTTATATTATAAACATTGAAATAACTGGAGCTAAACTTTCTACCTGTTTATATTTAGAGCCAGTGTCTGACGATCTTTTTTTACGATGACCCTAATATGTTTACTTCTAAAGTCGATAAGGGCGCCATATCAGTAGAAAAAAGAAACAGAATATCTCCCTTTTTGTCGGTCGCGCGTACACAATGCTTTTTGTTTGTTGTGAATAGCAACTTCGCTTTTTAGTTAACTCGGATATTTTAACTGAATTTCTGAAACAATATTTTCTAATTGGTAAAACGTAAAAAATCGTTAGATTTGACAACTCTGTTGAAACTGGTCGTTCATCTGGCCGCAGCTAAGAACGCAATACATCCGGCCAGCCGACCGACGGCCACGTCGTTGCGACCTGGTCGTCAGTGAGTTCGAGCCCTAAGCCCGCGTTTAAGGATTGACCTCACCAAAATTATCATGGATTGTCATTCCCCAGCTGTCTTTGACGTCGTTTTTTCTCGATCGTACAGTATTTCATCACTAAAAAAACATCAGGGTTTATTTAGGTTTAGATGGTAGTAAATTTTAATTAAGTTTACCGTCAGTCGTAAAAACACTTTGTTCATTAAGAAAATAATGATAAACTGTAGCTTTAACAGTCTTTTAACGACTTCAAAACTTACATTTTTCAAAAATAAAATCGTATACATATCTTTTATAGTTCGTGCCGAATGAATAATCCTGTATCTTTATTATAGACTATGGGAAATAATTCATTAGGACGAATACATTTCAACATAGTGAATGTAATTTTATCGGGCATTTGCTACATATTCTCGGTATTTTATATTAAAATACCAGGCCATACCTCTAGTTCAGACATGGCTTAACACCACTTCCGTAACAATATTCAAATGTGCGGGTTTTTTGATATGCTCCAGCAACGTAGTTGATATTATCGCTCTTTTATACAGCTCTTTTTTCATTATCTTTGCTCACTTAACAATACGAGTACTAAACTGGTTTGTTTACTTACACGAGGTTTGTTTTTCCATGGGCAAAACTTCCTTGGTAATGACAGGTGCTAAAGTTGTGGGAGGTTTCGACAATTTTGAATTTCCTTGAGATAACTCTGGTGTGTCGGATTCCGGTTTCCTATTATAAAACAAAGAATAGTTAATATCGTACAAAGATAAAGCAAAGTTAACGTTTTTTAAGATCTACATCTACAATCTCTTGATCAATATAATATTTAATTAGTTTTCTTAGAAATAACGGGCCTATATTATGCGCAATTTATTTTTAATATTCTTACGCAAACTTATAAACAATATAAGTTTTAGTAAATATATATTTTTTGTAACAGGGTCCATTTCACTAGACCGAAAAAGTAGCAAAAAATACGTTTGACATTTAACGTTTTATGTAAAACTGAAAGCACTGTTCATTAAAATGTTGTATCCTATATTATAGGGCTTGTTTCTCTCTACAATTTCCTGTCTCACAATGTACCGTTTGTGTCGGGGAAGGGATCATAGTTTCATAGTTGTCGATTTTCGAAAGAAATCAGTACATGTACATATATTATTTCGTATATTTTTCATTTTATTGATTTTCTGGAAAGCACTGTTCATTAAAATGTTGTATCCTATGTTATAGGGCTTGGTTTGGTTTGGTTTGGGGACAATTTCTTGTCTCACAATGTACCGTTTGTGTCGGGGAAGAGATCATAGTTGTCGATTTTCGAAAGAAATCAGTACATGTATATTATTTCGTATATTTTACATTTTATTGATTTTATGGAAAGCACTGTTCATTAAAATGTTGTATCTTATGTTATAGGGCTTGTTTCTCTCTACAATTTCCTGTCTCACAATGTACCTTTGTGTCGGGGAAGGATCATAGTTTCATAGTTGTCGATTTTCAGAAAGAAATCAGTACATGTATATTATTTCGTATATTTTTCATTTTATTGATTTTCTGGAAAGCACTGTTCATTAAAATGTTGTATCCTATGTTATAGGGCTTGTTTCCTCTCTTACAATTTCTTGTCTCACAATATGTACCGTTTGTGTTGGGGAAGAGATCATAGTTGTCGATTTTCGAAAGAAATCAGTACATGTACATATATTATTTCGTATAGTTTCGCTTTATATTGATTTATGAAAGCACTGTTCATTAAAATGTTGTATTCTATGTTATAGGCTGCGTTATGGGCTTGTTTCTCTTTACAATTTACTGTCTCACAATGTACCCTTTGTGTCGGGGAAGAGATCATAGTTTTGTCGATTTTCGAAAGAAATCAGTACATGTATATTATTTCGTATATTTTTCATTTTACTGATTTTATGGAAAGCACTGTTCATTAAAATATTGTATCTTATGTTATGGGAGGCTTGTTTCTCTCTACAATTTCCTGTCTCTGGCCAATGTACCCTTTGTGTCGGGGGAAGGGATCATAGTTTCATAGTTGTCGATTTTCGAAAGAAATCAGTACATGTATATTATTTCGTATATTTTTCATTTTATTGATTTTCTGGAAAGCACTGTTCATTAAAATGTTGTATCCTATGTTATAGGGCTTGTTTCTCTCTACAATTTCTTGTCTCACAATGTACCGTTTGTGTCGGGGAAGGGAAGAGATCATAGTTGTCGATTTTCGGAAAGAAATCAGTACATGTATATTATTTCGTAATAGTTTCCTTTATATTGATTTTATGGAAAGCACTGTTCATTAAAATGTTGTATTCTATGTTATAGGGCTTGTTTCTCTTTTACAATTTACTGTCTCACAATGTACCCTTTTGTGTCGGGGAAGGGATCATAGTTTCATAGTTGTCGATTTTCGAAAGAAATCAGTACATGTATATTATTTCGTATATTTTTCATTTTACTGATTTTATGGAAAGCACTGTTCATTAAAATATTGTATCTTATGTTATAGGGCTTGTTTCTCTCTACAATTTCCTGTCTCACAATGTACCCGCTTGTGACAAATCGGGAAGGGATCATAGGTTTCATAGTTGTCGATTTTCGAAAAGAAATCAGTACATGTATATTATTTCGTATAGTTCCACTTTATATTGATTTTATGGAAAGCACTGTTCATTAAAATGTTGTATTCTATGTTATAGGGCTTGTTTCTCTTTACAATTTACTGTCTCACAATGTACCCTTTTGTGTCGGGGAAGGGATCATAGTTTTTCATAGTTGTCGATTTTCGAAAGAAATCAGTACATGTATATTATTTCATGTATATTTTTCATTTTATTGATTTTATGGAAAGCACTGTTCATTAAAATATTGTATCTTATGTTATAGGGCTTGTTTCTCTCTACAATTTCCTGTCTCACAATGTACCCGTTTGTGTCGAGAAGGGATCATAGTTTCATAGTTGTCGATTTTCGAAAGAAATCAGTACATGTATATTATTTCGTATATTTTTCATTTTATTGATTTTCTGAAAGCACTGTTCATTAAAATGTTGTATCCTATGTTATAGGGCTTGGTTTGTTTCTACAATTTCTTGTCTCACAATGTACCGTTTGTGTTGGGGAAGAGATCATAGTTGTCGATTTTCGAAAGAAATCGAAGTACATGTATATTATTTCGTATAGTTTCCTTTATATTGATTTTATGGAAAGCACTGTTCATTAAAATGTTGTATCCTATGTTATAGGGCTTGTTTTCTCTTTACAATTTACTGTCTCACAATGTACCCTTTGTGTCGGGGAAGGGATCATAGTTTCATAGTTGTCGATTTTCGAAAGAAATCAGTACATGTATATTATTTCGTATATTTTTCATTTTACTGATTTTATGGAAAGCACTGTTCATTAAAATGTTGTATCTTATGTTATAGGGCTTGTTTCTCTCTACAATTTCCTGTCTCACAATGTACCCTTTGTGTCGGGGAAGGGATCATAGTTTCATAGTTGTCGATTTTCGAAAGAAATCAGTACATGTATATTATTTCGTATATAGTTTCCTTTATATTGATTTTATGGAAAGCACTGTTCATTAAAATGTTGTATTCTATGTTATAGGGCTTGTTTCTCTTTACAATTTACTGTCTCACAATGTACCCTTTGTGTCGGGGAAGGGATCATAGTTTCATAGTTGTCGATTTTCGAAAGAAATAAGTACATGTATATTATTTCGTATATTTTTCAATTTATTGATACTATTGAAAGCACTGTTTATTAAAATTTTGTATCCTATGTTATAGGGCTTGTTTCTCTCTACAATTTCCTGTCTCACAATGTACTGTTTGTGTCGGGGAAGGGATCATAGTTTCATAGTTGTCGATTTTCGAAAGAAATCAGTACATGTATATTATTTCGTATATTTTGTGTTTTATTGATTTTATGGAAAGCACTGTTCATTAAAATGTTGTATCCTATGTTATAGGGCTTGTTTCTCCCTACAATTTCCTGTCTCACAATGTAATCTTTGTGTCGGGGAAGGGATCATAGTTTCATAGTTGTCGATTTTCGAAAGAAATCAGTACATGTATATTATTTCGTATTTTTTTTTCATTTTATTGACTTTATGGAAAGCACTGTTCATTAAAATGTTGTCTCTTATGTTATAGGGCTTGTTTTCTTTACAATTTCCTGTCTCACAATGTACCCTTTGTGTGTCGGGGAAGGGATCATAGTTTCATAGTTGTCGATTTTCGAAAGAAATCAGTACATGTATATTATTTCGTATATTTTTCTATTTTATTGATTTTCTGGAAAGCACTGTTCATTAAAATGTTGTATCCTATGTTATAGGGCTTGTTTGGGTCTCTTTACAATTTCTGTCTCACAATGTACCCTTTGTGTCGGGGAAGGGATCATAGTTTCATAGTTGTCGATTTTCGAAAGAAATCAGTACATGTATATTATTTCATATATTTTTCATTTTATTGATTTTATGGAAAGCACTGTTCATTAAAATGTTGTATCTTATGTTATAGGGCTTGTTTCTCTCTACAATTTCCTGTCTCACAATGTACCCTTTGTGTCGGGGAAGGGATCATAGTTTCATAGTTGTCGATTTTCGAAAGAAATCAGTACATGTATATTATTTCGTATATTTTTCATTTTATTGATTTTATGGAAAGCACTGTTCATTAAAATGTTGTATCTTATGTTATAGGGCTTGTTTCTCTCTACAATTTCCTGTCTCACAATGTACCGTTTGTGTCGGGGAAGGGAAGAGATCATAGTTGTCGATTTTCGAAAGAAATCAGTACATGTATATTATTATTTGTATAGTTTCCTTTATATTGATTTTATGGAAAGCACTGTTCATTAAAATGTTGTATTCTATGTTATAGGGGCTTGTTTCTCTTTACAATTTCCTGTCTCACAATGTACCCTTTGTGTCGGGGAAGAGATCATAGTTGTCGATTTTCGAAAGAAATCAGTACATGTATATTATTTCGTATATTTTTCATTTTACTGATTTTATGGAAAGCACTGTTCATTAAAATGTTGTATCTTATGTTATAGGACTTGTTTCTCTCTACAATTTCCTGTCTCACAATGTACCCTTTGTGTCGGGGAAGGGATCATAGTTTCATAGTTGTCGATTTTCGAAAGAAATCAGTACATGTATATTATTTCGTATATTTTTCATTTTATTGATTTTATGGAAAGCACTGTTCACTAAAATGTTGTATCCTATGTTATAGGGCTTATTTCTCTCTCTACAATTTCTGTCTCACAATGTACCGTTTGTGGGGAAGGGATCATAGTTTCATAGTTGTCGATTTTGAAAAGAAATCAGTACATGTATATTATTTCGTATATTTTTCATTTTATTGATTTTATGGAAAGCACTGTTCATTAAAATGTTGTATCCTATGTTATAGGGCTTGTTTCTCTCTACAATTTCCTGTCTCACAATGTACCGTTTCTGTCCAGGAAGGGTTCATACTTCTTATGAACCCTTCATAGTTTCATAGATGTCGATTTTCGAAAGAAATCAGTACATGTATATTATTTCGTATATTTTTCATTTTATTGATTTTATGGAAAGCACTGTTCATTAAAATGTTGTATACTATGTTATAGGGCTTGTTTTTCTCTACAATTTCTTGTCTCACAACGTACCGTTTGTGTCGGGGAAGGGATCATAGTTTCATAGTTGTCGATTTTCGAAAG